TTTATTATTTATTATTAATGTTCATTAAGTACTGTTAGGGTTAATTTCGTATTTAAACAACCTATAATTTATTAAATATTAATAATATAAATTTATTAAAAAGAAGATATTTTCTTATCAGTAATAAATTTTTTAAATATTTCTACATTTTTTTTATAAATTTACAGTGTTTATAGTCAAATATTTATTTTCTTGAATTCTTTGGATTTTAGTGGAATGTAGTGTTGCAGCGCCATCTTTTGAATTATTCATATTCTAAAAAATCATAGCATTAAATAATTATCTTTAATAAATAATGCTACTAGAAGAAGGATATTTGATGGAAATTTGAATTGAGTTCAAAACATTGCATAAATATTAAAACGACATTATTACTTTTATAAAAATCGATTTTAATCAGTGAATTTGAATTCATAATATTAGTTTAATATTTCGACAACAGATGGCGGCTTTTAACAAATAAATTAATTAAAATTACATTTATTTTGCAAAGTGATATCATATATTATATTATATCATTATTATGGATAAAAATTGGTTGAGACCTATTTTAATCAAGTACTGTATCCAGCCCATGCTTTAACTAGTGGAAAAATATTTTATAAATGAAGTATTGCAAATTAAAGTTTTTTTTATTTAAAAATTAATAACACTGTTCTAACTACCAACACTTTGCACGAAAAGTTTTGCACATTTTAACTGTGATAAATATAATAAAAGAACATGTCAAAATAACCCAAATTTGAAATTCACCGAGAAATTTAAAAAATCATTTGGAGCATTTGGAATCATACTTTTTTAGTTGTATCACAAACTTTTTTACTATATTTTACGTTAAATGATTTAGAGTCAAATTCTTGCATAATTTTAGCCAACCAATCCATCATCCAGAAATTAACGTTCTAATGTTTCTTCTACTTCTTCGCACATTCCTAATCATAAATGTAGGATACCAATGACAAAATCACTTCGCCAGAGTAAATGGAAGAACTCAGGAGAATTATCCTTTTAACCGGTGGTTTCCTTTTTTCAATCATCCTACGTCTGCAATTGTTCTTAACTATCTTTTCCAAAAAGACTTCTTGGAGGTATTGGCCAAGATTCGAGATTTACTGTTCTCCATCACAGGTGTTCCTTTGAGAAAAGACCATATTTGTTTAGGGGATACATGATTCTGAATTGATATGCTCAATCGCCTCCAATAATCTGTCACTGGAAAAGAATTCATTTACAGTCTGGTCGATTTAGTATTCGTATTTTTGTGTATGAGCGGGAAACGCTCCTTTAATGAATTTTCTTGGTCGTGAAATATGTAACAGTTCAGTAGATATATCCCACTAACTTTCTTTGCAGTAGTAAAGATCAATACGAAAATATGAAAAATTGATGGTACAAAAAAAATTGTGGAACAAAACTTGAAGCAAATTTCATTTCTAACAATATTGCTCTCTTGCATATTTGCTCCCACTTAACTTTGTAACAACTTATAACATTCGCAGTAGTAAAAGCGTTAGGATAGGCTTTCCCTAATAAGCCAAATATTATTATTGGCTTCCTAGCATTCCTTATCATGTAGCCATAAGATCATTCTTGGCCTTATTATGATACGCTTTAAAATGACTCGAAACATCTACTTAAGTCAGATCTAGAGTAGCATCTTATGCGTAGTGTGAGGTTGGAAAGTCAACATCACAACTGCAACTTCTTTGCTACTTCAATTACTTTAGTCATTTACATTGGATTGTGCTTCAACACATGGACTTCAATGTTCATTCTGGGAAACAATAAACTACAAGTTGCTTCCGTGGTCGATATTGCTGATATTGTGGTGATATTTAGTTCTTTTTTTGCAAATGTAAATCATTCTTTTTTTGCTCTCGGCCTATTATTTTCATCGACATATTATATGTTTGGCAAACATATACAAACACGATGCGAAGAATGTCAAAAAACTTAGGTTGAAACGAGGTTAAGACATCGCAGCCTCTTTCTTTTTGCTTCCCATGATGTTGGAATTCATTTATTATTGGATTTCGCATAACCATAAGCAAGCTTTTTTATGTTGATTGGGGTTACCCCATATTGGAGTTAAGTACTGTGCTTTATATAATTTACTAAGAGCTTTTCCTCATTTTCTGTGAATACTTGTACTTGAACTGCGAATTACTCTTTCGAACATTGCAGAAAATAGACGTTGCTTCTTTTTCATTCTTTACTCCGAGGCAAGATATTGAATTTTACTAATACATAACCTTAATTTTAAGTTTACAATTACGTTTTCACATAACTTTTAGAAATTAAAAACGCAATGCTATTTTAAAAGCCATCAATGATTAGTTTATGTTTTCAATTAAGTACGTTAAAATCAAAAGTAATTAGTGAAAACTCGATAATTAATTATGACTATGAACGATAATTAAAAATAATACGCAGGAAGAAAAGATACTTAAGTTAAAAATAATTTTGTACAATTTTGGTACTTTCTACAAATACAGTGTATGGAATTTTTAAGAAGAATAAAAATAGAAATCAGGTTTTTATACAAAAAGTTTTTCTTAACACCTTCGAAGTAAGATAAAGTAAAATATCGTATTCTTTATTTATCTTACATATAATTTCATCTTATCCACTTACATTTAATAAAATGCATGAAATTCGAGTATTAAGAGACCGCTCAACTTGAAATTTTGACATAATTTGCATTCAGACTATAAATTTGATGCAAGTTTCGAATCTCTGAGGTCACAGTTCAGGTTAAGGCAGAGCTCCCGCAGGTCATTTGGATTTAATCTAAGAAGGAATTTATACAATAATGAACGAATGTGATGAGACACAAGAAAACAAAAACAAGCCAGCAACAAAAAACGAGCAGACAAAGTCAATGGATATGTAACAAAAATAGAATGGTAACATTGAAACATTGCAGAAGCCAGTAAATTTGTAGAGATAATGAATATGATGGAAAAGAAACCTCAGTTCGAGTCCAATGAAATGAAAAGTGGTTGTGAGGGAAAGTAGTCATATACCGCTGCCTTCAAGAGTTATGGTTAGAGTACAAACGTTTGTTGATTGAAATTGAGTGTATGAATATACCGACCTGATCCAGAGCCGCATCATCCATGTAAGTTACAGCGTCTCATGACAAAATCCTCACAGTTGGATGCACATGCCTTGTAAAAGACAATTTAATATTCCGACTCATTGTTCAGACATCTTCTTATGACTCTCATAAGGCCAGCATGCATCGTCAAACAAAATCAGGATTCAACACTGAACATCACTCTATGCCAGTAAGGTTTCAATGCAGTCCTTCCTACAATACTTCAAACGTTGTTATCGGTTGTCTAAATGCGCATTAAGCGGTCAGGTTCTTAGTATTAACGCAAGATGTGGCTGATAGAATTGTAAGCCAAAAGTTCTGATTTACGGTAAATTTTTCGAAGGGATACAAGATGATCTTCGTTACCTAGCTATTGACCGGTAATTGGTCTGCTACTGGAAGTCATTTTTGTTGCTATAAGGCGAAAATAGCAGTTCTATAGATCATTTGTTCTTCTTCGCCTCCAGTTCCTTTTTTGCGTTATTCCTAATCCTTCCTATCTCATGTCTTTTTTTAAAATTATTTATTAAAATTAGCTCAACATACATTAAAACATGTTACATCATGGTTGAATTCATATTTACATTAACATAACGGCTAAATCCACTAAGGAACAAAGTAACTTTTCAAGGGAATCTAGTTTAAGCTTAATTGACAATAAGTCTTGAGGTATTTTCCTTTTAAATCGCTGATGCAAATTTTTGCAACCCAAATTAATGTTAGTAGCATTGGAACACTTATTGATGTTTTCGTAAAATTTTGTTTTGTAGAGCTTTTAATTTTCGGATATTTGTTGCTGAAGCATTACTCCATACCGGGCAAACATAGGTGACCAAAGATCTTATTAAAGCTTTATATAGTAACATAGTGCATTTAGTTTTCAGATGACTTTTTCTATTTATTAGAGGAAATAGTTGTTTCAATCAAGCATATCCCAAATTCAATCTGTTGTTTAGGTGAATACCCCAATTTAATCGTCGATCAAGATGCAGGCCTAAGTATTTGACAGCTTTGTTTTTAGGATTCCATTGAAGCTATTTCTGCACGTCGTTAATAGCATCTTGTAGCGGTTGTATAGCTTCTTCCAAATCACTACCTCGGGTCATAATCAACATATCGTCAGTAAACAGAGCTTTTTCATTGCATCTTTGGCACAGTATATCATGCATAAATATATTAAATAAGATTGGTGACAATATACCTCCTTGAGGAACTCCTGCTCTAAGACATCTTGTATATGAATAGGTCCCATTTATTCTCACATAAAAAGTTTGTTTTTGAAGATATGACAAGTATTGCGGTAGTATAGTTATCTAGACCTAGATGTAATAGTTTGAATTTTAATCCAAACTGTATCAAAGGCTTTAGCTACATCTAAAAAGGCGCCTATCTCATGTCTGATAACATCGTTTGATACTGGATTGGTACCAGTTAAGGCGGTTAAGACAAATCATATCAATAAAAAACAAACTTTTTTGGTTAACTTTATTGATTCATCAAAACCTTAATAAAGCGTTGAATATATAGTATATAACAGAAAGTAAATAGTAATTTCAATAACATACCTATAGTAATTTAGAAGCGCCATCTATTGAAGTATTTATATCTCTATATTCAATAAATCTTTCCGTTATAAGATTACAAAACAAAAATTCAGTCATTTTATCAATAACTCATTCGAAGTAACGAATTTTAAATATTTTTAATATTTTATGTATATGTATACATATAAAAGTTATAATAAGAAATGTAAAGTTTCCTGTATTGTTAGAGTTTAACCACCTTTTGTAAAGGTGTCGCTGTACCAACCGAGCCCACCTAACCTCAATCATTTACATTACCCCCACTACATTTTCGCGCACACGATCTTCTCCGTAAAAACATCACAACACACCGACAGTTGACGAGTAATAGTGACATAGTAAGGTTGTGTCAGTACGAAAAGAATAAGGCAAACGATACGGAAATCGTCGTAAGTTGCGAAAGTACCCCGTCGCGTGTTATTCAAATACATTTATATTCTTTTTCGTTTTGATATATGACTTTGGTTCGTGTCAGTTGTACGCGATGTCCTTCGTAGTAAGTAGTCGCCGCCAATTCGGGGGCTGACATTCGAGATTTACTGTGTTAAAAGGACGAGGAAGTGGAATAGCAACATAGAGCCGGGGTTTCCTCGGACATGTCCCAGTGCAAGAAATTCGCCCCGAACATCTTCCACAAGACCAAGTGCTCGAACTGCTTCCGTCAGAAAGAGGAGCACTCGGCAGAGGCGCTGGAATGCAACCGAGTGAGTCCCGCTACGTGTAGCTACATTCCTAACCATACACACGCACGTATATGTAGTATTTATTTCGGTTCTATATTCATACAGACGTGACCTACCCTATTTAATTTTTTTTTTTGATACACGTATATTTTGTATTCCCTTGCGAATATTTTTTTAGGTTTAATTTTGAAGAAAACTAATAAATCTTGATAAAAGCAAGCAGAAGATTGAATCCGCGCTTGAAACGTCAAACAGGTGCATTGTTGTTTAAGATAGTTACGTAACCGACGTCAGCTACTGGTTTTACGATCGAGTTCCCGTTGTTATTGCACTCTTGCGTAGAAATCGTTTCTCTACGACTATGCAGAGCCCCCCGGACTACATGCATATTGTATTTCTCTCCTCAAGGTTTGTTTTATACTGCGGCGTTGCGTTTATTTATTATTTATCGGGACGCGCGATAATGGAATTGGATCGTCGCGGCAATAACTCATCTCGTCGAACGTAATGAATCTTCGTAATGACGGGTAAATGACGTTTGACAAGCGGTAAGAGTAATTGAGGTTATGTCGACGAATATCTGGAGATATAACGTCGGCTCCGATTACTTGGGGCTATATTCTTTTGAATAGACTGCGACCTCGTTTTAGAAATAACGTTTATGTTAACTTGACGACGACCATTTAAATTCACATGTGGATACAATAAAATTATCATTCGCACATCATATCGAATGGTATGCTTTGAGTTATTTCCAAGAAATTCTAATTGCATTTTAATCGCATTTAATATCCGTAATTATCATGCGTTTAACATTTCGAAATTATCAAGGTTTCAATATTTAGATATAGTTCGTTTTTTTTCTATAATACTTGTCAATGTAAATTTTTTAGGGTTTCTGTTGGTATTATTTAGGACCCTTATAAAATTTATGTTGTTTTCCTGATTTTTAGTAACTTTTTCAGTAACTTAATAGTTGAGGTTAAAATACTAATAAATTTTTAGATAAATACGATTTTAATCAAGTACATATTTATTGTAAAAACGTGCTACATAGTAATCAACGGCTCAAACGTCACTGTAACATATTTATTTCAAAACATCATATAACAAAACTCCCTGTTAATTTTGCCAACTTTACAACAATTTGACAGGTATTATAGAAAAAAATTGAACCAAATGGAATTTAACCAAAAATATCTATATCATCTATTTTCTTAGACCAATAAGAGATTCAGTTTTTAACAAAACTTTGTTTCATCATCATCATTATTTTCACCACAACCCCTGATGGATCTTGGCCTCTCTTCTATCTCGTGCCTTGGCCTTCCAGTTTCTTACTAGCAATTTGAATGAAAATGAAGATGATAACTTACCCTTAAGCATATTGCAGATAATATTAATTCCTACTGACAATAATCAAAACAAAACGATTTGGGATTGTTATAAAGAAGTGGCAGAAACTACAATAAATTTACTAATCTGGAGTCAGAGATAGTAAATCATTTTAATCAGGAACTCATTCAAATAAACAAGCTTTCAATTATGGCGTCGATGTCAAAGAAGTTTTTAACTGCACATGAAGCTCTATATACATATTCAGAAAAGTTGTTTTTGGAGGCAGGAAACATATTTGAAAGCTAAAAGAATCCTTAAATGGTGAGAAACTGATATTCTGATATAAAAATTTGGGTTTTTCATATAAAATATTTATTTTTTTAATAGTTGATTTGATAGATATGCAGTTATTTTGCTTTTTAGATAAAATCTCCTTATCTCTACCTTAAGTATACAACGAAGTATACAGGAACCCGACAAACCAAGTACCAGGTGCATTTTTAATTATAAATAAGAAAAAGAAGATTACGAAGTTTAATTTGATAATTTGTTGATATTGAGTTTCAAAATTTTAACCTGGTCGATAACTAAAAGCAATTTCGAATACCATCAAGAAAAGAATGCGGTGCTAGCAATATGAGGATAAAAATAATAAAAAAAAAATATAAAAATGAAGATTAAAAAAATAAATAACATACAAAGTCGTTGAAGAAGAGTGGAAAAAGATTCGTATCCACGCGTGGGACGAACCCCGCCCAACATTTCGGGCAGGTAGAGGACAAGACAGACAAGAGTCCGTGTCCTACAAATTCAACACACAATTGCGTCCGGTCGCCTCCTCCAAAAACCGAAAGCGAAAACGATCAAATCAACAATAACAGCCTTTGGGACCCGAAAGAATGTCCACGCAAAAAACCGATCGCAACCTCTCGACCCTGCCCATGATGGGGGTAAGTTGTTATAACGAAGAAAACACCGTGGGGTTCCCTTACAATATACAGTCTGTCAAAGGTGATAATGACGAACGCTTCATTAACACATAGATGATGTTTATTTCTGATTATGTGTTTACCAAATTTAAAACTAATGTGCAAAATTGATTGGAAATTTCATTATCACTTTGTTGGGGGAGGGGGGACGAAGGAAAGAGATAACAACACGCGCCTCTTGGTATCTCGACAAACACCTGTGACGAAGCTTCTGTATTTCGTGCCCCCACCATGTCACAACCGTTGGTGGTCTTCCGTCTCTATCCTATCCATTGGGTTCGAATCGCGTCGAACGCGTAAGTGCGCTAGTCTTGAACTGGGTTTGAAGGAATCTCACGTATCTTCGGACACAATGACTAGGGTTAACAACCTGCTAACGAACGCTTCTACAGTTTTACCAACTCTTCTTCTCCACCCATACATATTAAATTGATTTGTTTCAATAATTCTATATTGGATGCTTTTGTAATCTCTAACATAAAATCTTTTCGATACAATTCAAAAGCTTCTGGAACATTCGTTTACTCTTATTACAAAAAGAAAACAAGATAAGAATAAATGTGTGAAATCTCTCCCGTATACGAAAAGATATTATGGATTCGAATTTAGATGAAAAGATAAAGACGGCTTGGCTGTGGTCGGATGGTGGCCGCTTATGATGCATTCGACACGTGTTTCTCTGATAGAGTAGAGGAGGACCCCAGACGCTCCGCTGAGTCTCGGATTTTTGAGGTGGTCGGCCCCCCGTCCTTGACGCTTAATTACCTATTTGTTTTAATTAGTTTTATGCATGTGTGCTGCCCGATGCGATGAGTTACTGCACGACAAATATTAATCGAACACTAACCGTAGCGTAAATCGATTTAAAAAATTTAGTACATTCCAATCTAATTATTTTTTTTTCTGTTCCTTTCCGAATCAATTAGGATTCGATCGCTATCGATTAGAAACGGTGGCGCCTTAAGAGAGGCGCCGTTATAAAAAACCACACTGCAAACTGTTACTTTTAATTTAAAAAAATCATTTTAAGCCGCTGTAGAATATCTTTCATGTTTTTAAAACGAAAAGTTCTGGTATTGTGGTAATAAAAACAAATAGAAAAAAAGCATTCATTTGACGATCAATAACTCTCCAATTAGTTTGGTGCAATTATAAAAGAGAAATACAATCCATAGCAGAAAGAAAACGGGCACTAAAGGAGATAGCAGCTATATGTAATTAGCCTTAATTGGTGAAAGTTAGCGATTCGAGTCTTAATTGGAGAAAAAAATCGCCGATTCAATTGACGTCGCAATTTTTTTCAGTCGATTACGCGCGTCTCGACGGCCCGAACAGCAATTTGTTCTGAACTGACGTTCCAACGAAAGAGCCGCTTTTTACAAAAGCTATTGTTTTCTCGACGCAACGGAATTCGAAGAGATAATAAGTTAACTATACGCGGCTTATCTATGTTTGGCTTCCGACCGTTTTGTTCTTTTATTATTACTAGCACTCCCACCTGACTATAAACATTTTACGTTATCGTACCAACCTTCATTATCTTATCAATACTGATATTACCGGTATTCTTAATAAGTGTTAGTTAACAATATGGTTTACAATAACATAATAATATTCAACTAAAAATGGTTTCTTGAATGTAAATTATCTTCGCATTATTTTCGGTCGAAACATAAAATCTTTCCAAACCTAGTGCTGCAAAACTTTGCTCAATATCTGAAAGTGAATGTCAAGTTTTGGAGTGCCAATTATAATTTTTTTATTCTGGAGATTGTTGCAATGTTTGAATATATTTTGAGTTAACTTGAATTCAAACAGTAAAGAAACTCTAGTTTATCAAATACGTTGAAGAATTTCGTTTTCTTGGACATCGAAACCGGCAAAACTATTAAACATAAAAAGTTTGGTTTAATTTTATCACCACAAAACCACCATCTTATGATTGTATTTTCTAACATAGCAATGAAATCATCATGGATGATTAAGCATTTCAAAGGAAAATATTCCGATAAGCAGGAAGAATTGGTTGAATACTTCGAAATTCGTCAACGAAAGCACAATTTTTAAAATCACAATCTATATTTTTTATTCCATAATAAATTTCAATCTTATTTTTTCAGAAAATGAAATATTTGAGCTATAATTTTGAGATTAGATAGCAGAATTCTAATCAACATCAAATAAAGAAAATGATCCATGGTAATCAACTCTCTTGTAAATGATGGAAAACCACCATGAACGGCTTAGTTCTGTAACATGTCTCGTATATTCCAGAAACTGTATCAGAAACACATGATAAAAAAATAATAAACAAATACTATAAGCACTGAAAGCAAAATGATTTCATTTTAAAGTATGTTAACAAGACCAGGAATTTTGCTGCAAGAAATGATTCATCATAATGTTTGTAAGATTTGCACTTATCATTCCTTTGATGTGACCTCTAAGCTGTAATATTATATCTTCTGGAGTTGTTGTGAGTAATCTAAAGTGCTTATTCGAAAGAACATATTATTTATTCTTTTTAAGAGCATCGAGATTCGGAGGTTGAGCAGTTGTCTTTCCTATTATTTTTCCTAATATCTTTTTAATGGCAACCACGACATAAACAAACTCCAATTTCTAAGGTGAATTCAAAAAACTCCAAGATACCAGCTTTTAAAGTGTTATTAATGCATTCCTTAATCTGAACAA